CCAAAATATTATCAGTTCAACATGTAATAAATAGGGGCTGGTGAGATGGCTCAGTGGTCTAAAGCACCTACTTAGAACAAGCTTAGCGAAGCCCAGTTCAATCCCCCAGTACCACATGCCAGCCAGCCCGCCCCCTGGTGGGCTGAGCTGACCACACACACATACACACACACACACACACACACACACACACACACACACACACAAATAAAAAACAAAAAACAAAAACATGTAATAAATATAAGATTTACAAAAGATCCATCTCCCTATTTCCTACTTCTTTTATTTTGCTCTTTAAATTATTTATACTTTGGATTTTTCATGTAACAGAAACCATGCGATTTTTTTTTTCTTCTGTATTTTAGGGAAGGGTCTACAGGGTGTTCAGGGTCTCACTACTAGATCGGACTCATGACTCTCCTGTTTACAGCCTCCCAAGTGCTGGGATTACAACACGTGCCACCAACCCCAGTCTCAATCATCACTTCAGCACGCCCCAGCGATGTGGCCAGTATGGCACACCCAGTGATCAAGCCTCCAGCCCCTGCTCCTGTTTGGAGGCGCTTTAATCTACTGAGCTATTTGGCCGGCCCTTAACCATGTGACATTGAAGCTTGTGTGTCTCACTTAACTTATGGTCTCAAGGTACATCCATTTTCCCACACAATCCCCCAATTTATCTTTCTTCACAGCAGAGTACTATTCACTATGTATAAATACCTCTTTATCCGGGTTCTGCTAAGGTGCCTGGGCTAGGCTCGAAGTTGCAATCCCCTTGCCTCAGCCTGTAGAGTACTAGGATTACAGGCAGTAGCCCACATGATAGGCTCTTAACAAAAAACTTTTCATATGGGGCCGGGGAGATGGCTCAGTGAAATAAGCGCTTCCCTGGCAAGCGCAAGGGCCTGAGTTCAATCCCCGGTTCCACCAAAAAAAAAAAAAAAAAAAACTTTTCATAGTACTGGTGCCCTAGGGTGTCACTTAGGCTAAGCAGCAGCCAACAACTAGAACCAGATGAGCATATGAATCCAGGAAAGCCAATCCACTGGGTGGGTACCTGCAGCCCAGGAAGCATGTGCTACAAGAACTTTGAACATCCCAGCTCCACCCCCAAGCTCGCTGAGCCTTTGGACTGAGTCCTGGCATGGTGGCGCACACCTATAATCCTAGCACTGGGGAGGCTGAAAACAGAAGGAACACTATGAGTCCCAGCTGCGTAGTGAGACCCTGTACCAAATACACTTTTTTTAAAAAAGTACGAATAGCTTTGCTTAGCAGTAACAAGAACCAAGTAGAGAGGCTGGACTTTCCCTCCAGGATTTGAAAGGAAAAAAACAGAAGGAATCAGCTAGAAGTAGAAGAAACTAAAAGATATAAAAAGTGAAGTAACAAGAGTTAAGTCACAGAAATGGAGTTCCAGAAAAAAGATCCACAAATTGCCATCAATGGGGGTAGTCAGAAGACCCCTGGATCCTAAAAGTTGCCCTGGACTCTACTACAGACACCTTTTTTTGGTACTAGGAACTGAACTCACTACCTTGCACTTGCCACTGAGCTAGATCCCCAGCAGTGCCCTGGACTCCAGAACGCAAGCTTCTTGGATGTCTGTGCCCTTTCTGTGACCACTTTGCCACAGTGAATGAACCGCAAGACATTTACATACCTGCATTTTTTTCTCTTGCTCGTTTTCTCCAATTATTCCAGTGCCAGTGACACTTTCACTTCCATCAATGGACACCTACAAGAATAAAATAAGGCTTAAGAAAAGATTTATTTATGTTTGTAGTGCTAGGGATTTAACTCAAGGCTCCATGTAGGCTAGTTTCTTGGTAAGTGTGCTTCTGTTTTCTTTTCATGAAAAAGTAAAGAGGCTGTATTTCAGAGGTTGTTGTTTTTTTTTTTTTAATAGTGCTGGGAATCAAGCCCAGAGCCTTCCACATTTTGGGTAGGTGCTCTACCACTAAGCTATATCCCTGCCCCCAGGACAGTCTCAACACCATAAAATGCCATACCTTGGCTGCATACTGCTCCAAAGCACTGATGGTGTCAGGGTCAATGGTGGCATCCCCGGTGTGCAGCCCTGCCACTGTCCCATCCGCCTGAATTGCCAGGATGGTGTCAGACTGTGGAACTTGCACTGCATGGTGGATGTAGGCTGTGGTACCATCTTCCAGCTGAACCGCCTGTAATGCACTCTGGTCATAACTATCTGAGGGAGTGGAAGAGAAGGGGATTAAATTAAAGGTAAAATGTAGCAAGGAGTGGGAGCACACGCCTGAGGCTGAGGCAGGAGGATCACTACGAGCCTAACCTACAAAGTGAGCTCAAGGCCAGTCTCAACTGCATAATGAGACCAAAAAATAAGTAAATAAACAAACAAATAAATAAATGGTAAAAGGTTTTCCAACATGTTCTGATAAATTCATTAAAGGTAGGGCTGGCCCAATAGCATATCGGATTAAAGTGCCTGCTTAGGCAGACAAAGGGGCCAGGAATTCGATCCCCTGGACAGCCTGCAGGCTCTGCCCCCATGGCATGCTGAGATGGCAATTGAGACTGGGTGTGGTGGTATATGCCTATAATCCCAACACTTGGGAAACAGGAGAATCACTACCAGAGATAACTACACAGTGAGACCCTGTACACCCTGTTCTAAATAAAATAAAATAAAATGGTAAAAATAGTTGCATATTTAAAGGATAGGGGAATGAATTTTTATTGAGTAGTTACTATATGCTTTGTAGGCCTTATTTCACTTAATCTTCACAAAAATTATAAGGCAGGTATGTCTGTAATTCCCATTGTACAAATGGGAATCTGAAATTCAGGGAAATACCACTTTCCTCGGGACCAGGAGACTTTTTTTGTTTTATTAAGACAGGATTTCATTATGTGATTTATGCTAGCCTCGAACTCACTTTCTTTTCTTAGGGGGTAGGGGGGAATACCAGGAATCAAACTCAGGGCCTCACACTTGCCAGGTAGGTTCTGCACTACTGAGCTACATCCCCAACTCCTGAACTCATTCTGTAGTCCAGGCTAGCCTCCAATTTCCAGAGATTCTCTTATTTCAGCCTCCTAAGTACAGATTATAGGTGTGTACCATCATGCTTGGCACCAGATCAGGAAACTTTAAAAACTTAACAAATTAGCTGGACACAATGGTGCATGACTGCAATTCCAGCTATGCAGGAGGCTGAGGCCATAGTATCACAAGCTCAAGTCCAGCCTGAGCAATTTAATAAGACCATTATCTCAAAATAAAAATTTTTCAAAAGGGTTGGAGGTGTAGCTCAGAACTCTCTGGGTTCGTGAGGCCAGGGGTGATGGTGCACACCTATAATCCTAGCACTTGGGAGGCTAAGGCAGGAAGATTGCCATGAGTTTCAGGTCAGCCTGGGCTACACCACAATGAGTTTAAGTGAAGCCTGAACTACAGGGAGAGACACTATCTAAAACAAACAAACAAACAAACAAACCAACCAACCACCAACCACCAAGAATTCTCTGGATTCAATCAGGGTCAACCTGAACTACTTGAGGCCCTGCCTCAAAGTTAAAAAATAAACACCTAACAAATAATAGTCAAAATCACTGTGCAGGGATACCAGGATCTGAAGGTGTATCAATGTGATGCTGAAGTTCACAGTTCCTGGACAGCTCAGAGTGTTACATGTTTTTTTCCTAAACTGTGCCAAAATCTGTCACGCTGTACTCTGAAGCACACACACAATTTTTTTACATGACAGCTGTGCAGCAGCTAAGGCAGGTCTCACTTTTCTCACACTCCCCCTTTTCCCTCATCTGCTGCCTACTTCCAAAGCCACTGTACCTTTGGAGGCGTGGTGAATAAATGCTGTGGTTCCATCTTCCAACTGCACTGCTTGACCATCCTCCAGACGCAAACTGTCCCCTGCTCAAGAGTAATGCTTACATTTAGATCTCATGTTTTTCAGCTCCAATTCAGATTCAGCAACATCGGACTCAACAGCCACTGAACAAAATACAGGCTGTACTTGCTTTATGAGTCTTTGAACTGCTAAGTAATTTCAGAAAAGCTGCTTCATAAAGTGCTTAAAGATAGGGATGGCAGGGGGCCAGGAAGATGGCTCAAGGGGGCCAGGGAGATGGCTCAATGGAATAAGCGCTTCCCTGGCAAGCGCAAGGGCCTGAGTTCAATCCCTAGTTCTGCCAAAAAAAAAAAACCCAAAAAACAAGATAGGGATGGCGAGATAGCTCAGTGGACTAAGCGCCTGCTTTGGCAAGAGCAGGGTCCAGGGTTTGATCTCGGCTCTGCCCCGCCCCTGCTCTGCCCTGCCCCTGGGGTGCACTGAGTCAGCAACAGAGTCTAGGTGTGGTGGCATATGCCTGTAATCCCAGCACTGGGAAGGCTGAAAACAGGAGGATTACTGTGAGTCTGAGCTGCACAGTGAGATCCTGTACCAAATACATAAAACGAAAAGGGAAAAAAAGTGCTTAAAGGTGAAAGAATTAGAATTGTTGTTTTAGGTTGAATACATACAAGGGGATGAGAGCTAAAAGAAGACAAAAAAAGAGGAAAATGGATGATAGGCAGAATTTGGTTCAAATAACAGACACATTCATGGAGGACTGCTGCCCACGGATCTTTAGAGGGCAGCTCAGGAATTTCTTTTCCACTGCATTTGAGAGAAATTCTTGGCTAAATTCAAATGCTTTTTAGATCCTCTGGTGGCCTCTATTATCTCCCTCTTCAGAAGGAAGAAGAGAAATCAGGACCAAGTGAGACAGGAAGAGTAGAAGGCCCCTACTGCAGTCTGAGCATGAGAAGGGTTTCTTGTGCTGTATCATAAATACTTACTACTTTTAGGCATGGGTACATGCTGAACGTACGCAGCAGAACCATCTTCCAACTGAATGACCTGCCCATCGATGAGCTTTCCATCTGAAACAAATGATTCAAGTCAATACATCAGCAGAAAAAAACTTACAGCTTTATACAATTTCAAAATAATATCAACTATAAAAACATATACTACTTAAGCTCATGTTTGTTCATCTTGATTCTTCCCTCAATGAGAAGAGTAACACATTCAGTGATACTACAGAAAGCAGAAAGTCCTCCCTCAGCTATCCTTTCTCCCCTCCAGTTTCAAACAGATGAATTAAAGAGGAAGAGCAGCTCATCATGACAAGCTACACAAATCAGTCCTCTGTACACCTTTCAGAGTCATTTAGGGTCAGTGATCCTGAACACAGAGAAGCCAAACAGCTATGCCAGTGTGTGTGACAGATGCATCAGTGCCCATGAAGCCAGCTGTCCCTCTCACCCCTGGGGACTATACAGACCCCTATCCACTATGTGCTCAGGTTTCCATAAAAACAAGGAGTTTAGGGCTGGGCATGGCGATGTATGTCTGTAATTCCAACATTTGGGAGGCTGAGGCAAGAGGATCTTGCAAGTTTGAGGACAGTCTGGGCTATATAGTGAGTCCAGACCAGTCCAAACTACAGCAATAAAAGAAAACAAAACATGCCACCACTCCCAGAAAAATGAGTTTAGAGTAGGGCTATTTCTTAGAGCAAAGTAAACATTGATTCAAAGACAATGTTACTTACACAAAACCAAATGCCTTTACTTTTACATTTGTTAATAACATTAAATAGCCTGAAGTAAAAGAACAAGAAAGGTCTTACTAGAAATAAGCCAGGAACACACATTCATCCTTTACTCCCCAATGATTTTTGGTTTTTGGCGGAACCAGGGATTGAACCCAGACTCCTGCACTTGCCAGGCAAGCACTTATTCTACTAAGCCATCTCCCTGGTCCCTCTCCAATGTTTGTTTGTTTGTTTTTGAGATAGGGTCTCACTATGTAGTTCAGGCTAGACTTGAACTCGTGGCAATCCTGCCTCAGTCTTCCAAGTGCTGGGTTACAAACATGTGCAACCATACCTGGGTTCTCCAACTAATTTTTGACACCCTTGCCTACAGCATTTTCTAAATTTATCAAAGGGTGTACCAATTATCAAAACAGACTTCAGGTTAAATGGAAATGATTTAAAAATAATCACATGCAATATAACACCTTTAATCTTTTTGAGACAGGGTTTCACTACACACTTCACGCTGGCCTTGAGCTCACTTTGTAGCCCAGGCTAGTCTTGAACTCTCAAGGATCCTGCCTTAGCCTCCCGAGTGCTTGGATTACAGGAGTGGAGGTATACTGCTAGGGGCTCCAACTCCAAGGCTCTGAATCACTAGTATCCACCAGCTGTGTATGAGACACATACCTTTTGAATTGTGTTGTATGTAAGCAGTAGAGCCATCTGCAAGTGTCACTGCCTGCAAGCTCACACCTTCCATATTTTCTAAATTATCACCATCTGTTATAAAGCAAAATTATTTTCTTTAGATAACCATAATATGGGCATGCTGGTTAACCTTTCTTAAAAAATGAACATTAAGCAAAAGGCAGGTTGCTTAACTCTTAGCATTTACAAAAAATATTTCCCAGAATTCACATCAAATTAGAAATGCTTATAGGTTTTTGGTACTGCTAATTAAATGAGGTACAGGGAAATACACACAGTGCTTTAATTTTTTCCTTAAGAAAAACAGTATTTCCAAACCCACCATATTCCTCAAATGTGCTGCTTACCTGCCACAGTCACTGCCTCAGTGAGGCACAGGGTGACGTGCTGTGCTTCCATTCCTCCTCCAGGAAACTCCGCCATCCCCTGGGAATCCCGATTTATTTGGGCTAACAACATTTTCTACCTGAAAAAAAAAACATAGGTAATTGAGAACAAAGAACAATGCATGTAGAATAAAATCGACTAATAGTATTTATGAACCATAACAAAATTGCTAAGGATGTAAATAGTTCTTGAAAGATGAAATTTAAGGGCTGGGGAGATGGCTCAGTGGAATAAGCGCTTCT